TATATATATAGTACTATTCATTTAAGGTCTACAAGACTGGAACTGACCTCTTTGGAGAAAAAAAAGATAACAAGCTGAAGAGACAGAAACCAGAACAACTTCCAAAGAGATTAGAAGTGAACTCCAGCTGYAGGGTCAAGACTCATCAGTGTCAGATCGCACCATCTGTCTGTTTGAGCCAAAGTGGGACAACAACCTTTGGACAAATTAAACAAAACTGGAGCTTTTTTTTTGCATGTGTTCTGGGGCTCCTTTGCTGCATCTGAAACAGCTTGAATCTGTGCAGGGTGCGATGAAATCTCAAGACTATCGAGGCAGGAACAAAATATAATGCTTGGTGTCAATCAGCTTAACTGTTGTCGAAACAGCTAAAAGCACGCAAGAAATGTCACAGAACTAAACACTGAACTGTTCTGAACAGACCTCTGAGCCCTGATCTGAAACCTGTTGTGTGAGAGGAGCTGAAATCGGCAGGAGAAACTTTCTAACGTGAGACAGAGAATAAGTCTCAGAGAGTCAGAAATCATCTGATTGTTTCAAAAGATTGTGCAACAAAATGTTAAGACAATAAATTTAAAAAAGTTAAGACAATTCTTTTAGTCAAGGCTAATTGCATTATTTTTTCTTAAGCCCATTTACAAATTTCAAAAACAATTCGTTATTTATTTGTCTATATATTTGCGGATTTATAGCTTTGAGTTGGTTTAAATATGTTTGTAAGATAAGAAATCAACAAATTACCTAATATAAATTATATCTCTAAGTGATTTTGAATAGATTATTATCCATCCTGTTCAAATGAAGCTTTCATTAAGAGTCATTGATCGAAATGTATAGATTTTTTTGGTTGATTTTAATTAAAACCCTTCATAAAATATTCAGTGCTCCTCGGCATTCTTCCAGCCGCAGCTCGTGATGAAAGGCGCTGTCGGGTTTTTTTTTTGTCTCAATGACGTCACACCCAAAGAGTTTCCATCATGGCGTCCAGCCGGCTGCTGGAGAGGGAGGTCTCTGCCACCGCAAAGCTCGGTTTCTGCCCCCACAAACACTCCCTGCTCATCATCATCGGCCGGACCGCGCGCCGCTCACACACACAGCTCATCAGCAGGGAGCTCGAGACAGGTAAGAGCGCATCTGGCTGCAGCTGGGGGGCATTTGTCTTATTTCAGAAGAAGAAGAAGAAAAAAAAAAATCAAATGCCTGCAAGTTGTGGTTGTCTATTAAAGCCTCAGCAGGGGTGAAGCGGTTTGTTGTGTTTGTGTCATTTTCTCCACCCTGTGGATCGAGGATGCGTCACCATCAGCATCCCCCCATCATCTTCATCCTCATCCTCACCCTCCCCCCGACATCAGAATTAAAACCAGCTCTGAAGCGCCTGCTTGTCTTGTCTTATGTAAGGCTAGGATGCACCTTTGTGTATTTCTGCTCAGCAGATCCTGTGATTCTCTGTGAAAACAACTGGACATCATGGCTACAGTGGCCTGTTTTCTGCTGTGTGACTAAGAGCTGGGCTGCTACTAAATTTTGTTTAGACTGAAAACGTTATTTTTCCTGCAGGAATAAAACTGTACCTGCTGAGTGGCGTAGAGGAAATTTGCTAAAAGAAAACTGAGTTCTTAAAGCTAAAATAAGCAGAGGAAAGCTCTTATTTTAGCTTTAAAAGCTAAAATAAGAAAAATGCTATCAAAAATTCAAGACTAGCCTTAATGCTAGCTAAAAGCTAAGAGTACCAAAATGCTATAAAATGGTAAAACATTAGCTATATGCTAAAAGTGTCAAAGCCCCAAGCTGAAAGTCTCAAATAACCAACCAACCAACCAACCAATCAATCAATTAAACAATTAATCAGGTTAACCTAACAGGTTCAAGTAGCAAAATGCCATCATAAACATACTCTTGCTAAGATTAAGAGTAGCAAAAGGTAAAAGCGTAGAGCTGCAAAACACAAAAGCAAGAATATGCTAGCTGAAAGTAGGGCTGCCATGATTAGTTGATGACTAATCGATTATTAAAATGATCGATGACTAATTTAATCGATTAATCGTTTTCTTTTTTTTTTTTGTTCTTTACTTTGTTTTTCTCTCCAAACTGCTTTGACACATTCCACTGCCACATCTGCCTTTCTGTCCTTGACACACATGCACAGTAGTGGTAACTGGGGTAGGCCGTGGACGTCACAAGACATTATACAGACAGGCTCTGGTATCATGGCTACCTGACAACGGAGCTCAAAAGTGTGGGATCATTTTAAGAAAATGAAAGAGAAACCTGTGTAATATCTGCAGAGCAGAACTTGCCTTCCACAGCTATTATTTTTTGTTAGCATATAGCTAAAATCTAATGTTGGTTATATAATAGCAGCTGCACTCTGGCGCGATAAGCTCTATGTTTTATATTCAATTAATGTATGATCAGATTAGTCGATTAATCGAAAAAATAATCGATGACTAATCGCTTATAAAAATAATCGTTTGTGGCAGCCCTAGCTGAAAGTAATTAACGCTAGCTAAAAATAACTAAACACAACCTAAGTTAGCAAGGCATTAGCTAAAAGTAACAAAATGCTAGCTAAAAGTGGCAAAAATATTAGCTCAAAGCTAAAAGTAGCAAAACACAAGCTGAAAGTCTCAAATTGATAGCTAGCAGGTAAAAGTAGCAAAATGCTAGCATAATGTTAAAAATATCAAGATGCCAGCTTAAACAATGCAAAATACCATAGCTAAAATCTGAAATCAACAAAATAAAAACTAAAATAGCAAAATGCCAGCTTAAATGTAGAAAAATAATAGCTAAAAAAAAATAAAAGAAGCAACATGCTACCTAAAGGTAATATTAGCTATGCGAACTAAAAGTAAGAAAACACGAGCTTAAAGAGAAAAGTAGCTAAAAGCTAGCAAGTAGCTAAAAAATGTAAAGCTTTTCTTGAAGGAATTCATATCCCTCCTTTCACTAATGGGCTACTGTGTGAGTAATAAAGTGCGGTAAAAGAAAAACTATGATTAATTTTACTTTTTAAATTCAGTCGACCTATGATAAATTTCATCTTCTTTTAACCTTGTGTTTGTGCTGATAAAGTTTTTATTTTATTTTTTTCGGTCATCAGGGATTCGATCATGGGACGTAGACCTAAAATCCTGCAACCTGAATGCTTTTCTCCAAGAATTCCTCTCTCATCACACGGCATCTTTTAAAGGTGCAGGTAAGAAACTTTGTTTGACCAAAAGCATTTCTTTATTCACGCTGCCCTTGCACAAATCCCTGGTCTCCATGTTAACGGGCGGCTCAGCCTCTATGGGGTCACTGAGGAAGGAAGGAAGGAAGGAAAGTAGAGAAGTTGGGTAATTGTTAGACATGGGTGGGCCCTCAGGACAGAAAACAAAAGAAAGCTGCACCGTATACCACCTTTTCTTCTCTGTTTGCACGTTAAAGTCCAGAGTTTGTTTTAAACACAGCTGAGACATGAACACATTCACGAATAAATAGTTGTTATTCTAAACAGCACATGATTGCATTCACAAAGGTTGTCACACTAAACACTGCAGTGAATTGAAAGTGATGCGGTGCATTTTTGGAAATGCATTTATTTCCTGTCTTGCCAAGATGTGAGGATCAATATCAGTTGTTCCGTTACTGTAAAGAAGCAGCTGAAAGCAGCAGCTCAAACCTGAGAGGACACATGAAACCTGAAGGAATTTATCAAAACAATTAAAAAGTGTGGTTTGAACATTTGTTTCCTTTTTTAAGAGAAGGATTCAATCCAATAATGCAGACTGAATGCAAAGAAATAAAATGAAAACTTAAATATAAATTTAAAACAAAAGCTGACGTCTCCAGCTTGTCCAGAGTGCTGCGGCTCAGCTATAAAAAACTCATAGATTTGAGTACTTCTTATCATCTCTTCACTGGCCTGTGCTACAGAATAGATTTTAAAATTTGTATGTTTACCTATAAATGCCAACATGGCCTTACACCCTTTTATCTCTCTGACCTACTTCTTCATCATTATGGTTCTTCTCAGGCACTGAGATCTTCTGCTTTTGGTCGTCCCGAAAACCAGGTTGAAGCTCAGAGATTGGGCTTTTTCAGGCCTCATCACTTCCTGTTTCCAAATCTCTTTCAAAAACATATTTGTTCTCACTGGCTCTTAAATTAAGTGTGCGTTATTTTAGTATTTATTGTTCTATGTTCTTCGTTTATTATTTTTCTTGAAGCTTTGAAATGAATTTGTTTTGCTGTTCTTATTGCCATTTTTATTGTTCCGCACTTTGGTAACAACCTGTTGTTTTTTAAATGTGCTTTATAAATAAATTTGACTTGATTTACAGTAGGTGGTAGAAAATAAGAGCAAAAGAACAAATGGAAACTGGAGAAGACACAGAGAAGAACCTGACAGGGCATGAAGCCCACAATTACAGACTGCTGAGCAGGAGAAAGATAAGAGCATAAATGGACAGGGGCCGATGAGGAAAGTCGAGGTGGAAAACTGAGGAAAACGATACTGGAACGGGAAAAAACAACAGAACAGAGCTAAACAAAAGCATCACAATACAAAAACAATAAACAGGAGAATCAAAAAGACATAAAATCAATTATTACTACCCCCAACCCCACTCCCCAACCAAAGAACGTTTGGTTGGTGTAACATTGTTTTAGAGTAGCACAGCAAAACACAATACAGCTCAGGATGTACCTGGTACTTTCACTAGATATGAACTTAATAAATACAGGGGGCTCATCTCGGTCATGTGACGACAGCGGTGGCCATAACAACACTGCGCAAACATCTTAATTTAGCATGACTGTGCCTTTTGCTAAAATAGTGTACAATAAGGGCTGATTGAATTTGCTAGTATATTAGCTTCTTTTTGCATATTAATGTTATACAGAGTGTAGCACTCTGCTGAAGCATGCTACAATTTAACACAAATTATTCAATATTACCAATACTGGTACCTATAGTACCAATTAAATCTTGTAACATGTACTTGATCAAATTAAGTARAATTTACCTGATTTATTCACAAATCTTTAACTATATTCTTAATAACTTTTACTAGATAATGATGAGTAAATATTACATGAATTTGTAGCATTTAAATTTACTTAACAAACATTAGTGCAAATTGTTCTGACGACTGTTACTAGTAAATCTTACAAGTTTTTATAACAGTGCACGTGTCAAACACAATATTGTATCATGACGTCCTGATGCATCTCAGTAATCCAGGTGAAAAATCAAAATGAAAAAAATTGTATAGGTCTTCTGGACGGGTTCTTCTTTAACATGATGTCCCAGTAGCTTTCAAACCTCAAAACACATTATGGCAAAGGCTGGTTCACCCCAAAGATCCGGTGCCCCGGCACAAACAGATCAATGTTGTATATGCTGTTAAGACGAAACGTTTCATTAAAGAAGACCCCGTCCAGAGG